ACAATATCTCTCCTTTTCTCTCTCCCATGTTCTCTCTGATCTCTCTCACTGTCCCTGTCGCTCTGATACACACTCTCTCTATCTCCACATTTTCTCTATTGCTCTCTCTCTCTCTCTCTCTCTCTCAAATTTGGCATATAGTTGGTTCTGCTTGAATCATTTGACCATTTGTTAAATGACTTCTGTGATTACGTGTCGATTTTTTGCTCAATGAATGATCTATCTCTAACAATTCTAGCTTGTGTTTGATTAGTGTATAATCTCTGGTTTTTTGGAGTTCTTTAGCTTTATATGAACATCTGGTTTGCAGTTTATTTTTTGCAATGCATTATAATAGAAGAATTTTTAAGTATTTCTATTTTGTAGTATCATTAAACTTTCTCAGTTCTTGGTTGTTATTTTTTGTTTAATTAAGATAGTTTGGAGTTGGTATTAGCAAGGAACTATTGTTGGTTGGATTCATCTTATCAATTTTCTAATACTCATTATTTGTTGAATCATTTTGGACTTTCATTGCCAAAATCTCTTTGATTGTTTGTAATAACAAATCAATAAGCGAATTGGCACATTGATTGCTTAGAAATTGAGCATCAGTTCATTTTTGTTTACTTTTTTCCTAATACATATTGTGACAGCAAACCTAATACAGCACCAAGTGCAAGTTAGTTCGAGGGGAAAGATAAAAAAGCACAGGGTAGGTTCAAAATGATAGGGGTGGAAACCATAAGAAAAGTTATGAGAACTTATTACTTCATTGAAAGTACAACCCTTCATAGAAAATATATGAGGACTTATAGCCTTTAGAAGAGCAAAATGGTAAATCAGGATTCGTATAACTGATTCAATTAATTATAAAAAAGATATAATGATGATACACTCGAAAATGAATGGACAACCATAAACATGAATATATGTTTTCCTTTCATGCATGTTATGGACATTGTTTTCCTAGATGGATTGTCCAATGGGAATCCTATTGAGAGAATCAACCAAACACGCATGACTGGGTTCTACTTGAGTTTTCAATTAGTTTATGTGGAAATATAGACGGTCCTATATGAGCCTTTTATTTCCATCACAATACCCTGGGTTTGTTCATAGAGTTATGAAATATACGTAACAGCCCCTTTGACTCTATAGTTCATCATCATCGTCAAAGCTTTTCTCAACTAATCGGGTCGATTACACGAATATTGATCTGCCACTCCACTCTATTAAGAATTATACTCTTAGTGAGGTTATAAGTCCTCTATATCTTTTCTCACTACTACAGTACTACTTGACTTTACAATACTATTGGAGCACTTCAATATTAGGGGTTTCTATCTCTAATCGTAAGCTCACTCATGTAGCTTGGGACCCTCTTATTCATAGGTATCAAGCTAAATTAGACCTATAGAAGACCAAGACTTTATCTTTTGGTGGATATATCACTTTAGTTAAATCCACCTATGCACATCTTCTTATTTATTTGATGTCAATCCTACAAATACTCAGTGAAGTAATCAAGCTTATTGAAAAACATATGCGAAACTTCATTTGGGGTAATATGGAGGATAACCAGAGAAAGTTTCATTTGGTGAACTGGGACCAAGTTTGTATGCTATCAAATCTAAGGGGTTTGGGTATCATAAAGCTTAAACTTGTAAACTTGGCACTTATATCCAAATGGTGGTGAACAATCTTTCAAAACTCTTCTCATCTCTAGAAGGATGTGCTAATTGCTAAATATAGTTTCAATCATCTCACCCATTTGATTAAAAAAGGTAGAGGAGGCAAATTCACCTCACTGATTTGGAATGATATTTATAGCTGCAGAAATACTGTTTTCAACAACATCAGATTCTCTTTTGGTTCAACAAATGGCTTGGTGATGCACCTCTCTCTTCTACTTATCCTAACCTCTTTGTCAGAGTTGCTCAACCTGATGTAAAACTTTCAGAGTTGATTTCTCTTTCCCCCTCTAACTGTATGATCTGGAACATCAGATGCCGCTACAATAAGCTACCTGACATAGTTATTTCGCAGCTTTATAATCTACTCCAACAACTTGAACAAGTTTACATCTCTTCTAATGCCAAAGACTTGGTTATATGGGAATAAAAAATTGGTGGACTTTTTTCTGTCAAATCAATGTATAGGCTCCTTTTTATGGATTGGATCCGTATTGTTAATACATCTTTGGGTTCTACTTGGAAATGGCCAGTATCAGTTACAATCCAAGCCTTCCTATGGGTCGCATGTCACAGGAAATGTTTAACAGTAGACAATCTTCAAAGGATGAGTAAAATTCTTCTAAACATTCGCTTGATGTGCAAAAATAATGAAGAATATTGCTCTCACTTTTTCCTTAATTGTCCTTTTTGCCTCTAGCTTATGTCTCTAGGCCTTCACTTTATTGGGTTTTTTCTTCATGACACCTTTGAATCTGATCAACATTATTAACCATCTTTCTGCCATTGGATTACCAAAAACAGGAGTTGTGATCTGGAAAATTTTCAGAAGTGCAATTTTATGGCAGATTTGGTTTGAACGTAACAGGAGAACCTTTGATGTGGTGTCACTGAATATTGAAAAGGTAAAAGATCTCATTTTACAATCTCTTTGGAATTGGTTTTCCTCTACGCCGGAAGGACGGGGTGCTCTTCAGATTGATATTTATATCAATCTGAAATTTTTGGCTCATTCTTCTTCTCACTCTAACCATCCCTTTAGAACTTGGATTGCACCTCTAGAAGCCTGCCTTAAACTTAATTTTGATGGAAGCTCATTTGGTAGGCTTCTTCGCAACAATTTTGGATCGGTTCTTTTTTCTTATTCTGGTGCTTGTAGGTCTACAACCAATCATGTTAAATTGGCTGCTCTCCTTCAAGGCCTTCATATTATCATTAACAGGGGTTTCATTGGTGATATTATAATTGAAAGCGATTCCTTTGTCATTGACAGAAGTTTCATTGGTGATATTATAATTGAAAAGGATTCCCTAAATGTTATCACGTGGTAGAAAAGAGCAAAAGATCCCCGATCCCTATTTACTCTTTGATTAATATATCAAGATCTATGTACTTGGTCTAATTTGAGGATAAACTTCAACCACACCATGCGCAAAGCCAATGATGTTGCTAATGAACTAACTAAACATGATGTTTCTCTTCCTTTTTTGCAAGTTTCTAATAATTTGATTCAATCTTTGTAATCTCATGCTCTTGAAGCATTTCTTTAATAAAAGTTCATACCATTTGTTTTAAAAAAAAAAAAAGCACTCCAATATTGCTCGTCATTGTATGTGATGGCAACTCGGTTTGAAGAGCGGTTATTGTGTACGTGTAACATATGGAGAATTGCAAGCTCTAATGTTTCATTGGAGAGAGAGAGAGAGACCTGACTATAGAGAGGGGTAGCAACAGGTCCGGTCGGGGTCGAGTTGACCCAAAACCAGCTAGACCAAATAACCCAATATATATTTAACTACGTTTAATATATATTTCATATATCGAGACCTGAAAAGTATTACCAATCCTGGACTAGACCTGGACCCGAATAGCGTTCAGATCCAAGGTTTGGACCCAAACCCGACCTGCCGGATCCAATATTTGGACCCATACTTGGACCCAAATCATGCTACCCTCAGGCCCAAGCCAGGTCCAGGTCATTGCCACCCCCACCATAGAGACAGAATGCCCAACTTTTTGTATAGTTGATTAAAAATCCCTTTTATTGAAGATATATCAGCTTCATAGCACCCAAAAAAAAATTGAACACATGGCTCTAACTAGCTTATTCTGATTTGCTGACTCCCAAGCTCAATCAAGGTTCCCATACATTGTTAAAATTCCAAATAGATTATCAAACCAATTCCAAAGTGCTAATTTTCTTGTTCCCAAAAAAAAACTTCCAGTCTCCAAGAAAGTTCTACCTTCCAGTTATCAAACAGGCCCTAAAAGTATTTTGAATATCAGCAATCCATACCAAGCTCAGTAGGTAAAAGTCGTTCCAAACAACCGAAATATCCCAATTCCACTACTATTATTTTTTTGTTATTTAACAAGAGAGTAAAGATTAGCATTCCAAATCAAAATTGCTAATCCAAATTATACGGTTGACCGAATCGACCACCCATCCAGGTTTTGAAGAACACTGGTTCAAACCCTTGGAGGTTATCATAAACAAGCTGAGCTAACCCTTTCCTTTAGCCCCTTCTCTCACTTATTGAGAGGGCCATGGGGTACTTACCCTCATTGATGGAGCCATAGGCGTACTTACTCCCAGCTTAACCTTAGCAAGCAAAGCTAAGGTGGAAACTTTGACGAAGCTCTCTCTGCTTTGCACTTGGCTGAGGGCAAAAAAGATTGCGCTAAAACTCTCTTTTTCAATGGACCTTTTACGCTTCCAAAACAAGTTAAGTTCCCTTCTCAAAGCACGCAAAGTCTCTCTCTCTCATATATGTCAACTCACTCAACCAATGTTGTACTCTTCAACCCTCCTTCCTAGAAACAAACTTTTTTATAAAGCCTTTCGACCAACCATAATCACCAAGAAGACTATGTTATGTTTTTTGCATTGACCTCATTTTTAAGTTACATACAATGAATGTGCAATCTCTATCAAACCTACCTCTCTCTCTCTCTTTCTCTCACAACTGCCTAGGAAATATGCAACTCATATATACACAACTTTCTCTCAAAAAAGGACTTGACTGAGACCTTAACACCAAAAAAATAAGATAAAAAGAGAGCCTCACTCTCCCAGTCCAAGCCATCATTTTTTTTATACACTGTAGACATGAATATTTTGTAGAAGTTACACACCAGAACCAATTAAGCAACCAATCTACTGCACCAAGACAATCTCATCTCTCCTCTTTCTTGATTACTAAGCAAGCCACTATATGTACCTCTCTCCCCTGCTCAAAACAATCTCTCTCTCTCTCTCTCTCTCTCTCTCTCTCTCTCTCTCTACAAACAATAATCACGAGCACATAACAAAAACATGCCCCAATAGAAATTTACAGCTTTCATTATAAAAGGATGCACTCTATACAGTGAGAGACTGCCTATACAGAAGCTTGGCAAGAATGAGTGACAAGAATCATTGGCATCATGCCCAGCAATAGAGAGAGAGAGAGAGAGAGAGAGAGATCTGCTTCTGCTTCTCTCTAAGAACTCATCTAACAAGAGAATCATAGGAGACATAGACAGTATCAGGAACGATAAGAGGCAACTTATCTATGTACATGAAGAGCCTCCTTAAGTTCTCCCTGGTGATGGCTTCCATGTCCATGATTTCATGGGTATCGATGACGATCCAAAGATCACCCGAGTTCACTCGCTTTAGGCTTTCTCGGCAGAAGGGGCACGACTGAGATCGTGCACGCCTGCAACAATGGAAATTATTCAAATCATCCACCACCCAAATCGCATTTTCATTATGTCCTCTATGGGAGTTACAAAAGCTTGTAGCTGTTCGTATCAAGCTCGTAACTGTTTGTATTGATCATTTGCTATTTTCAATCCATGTGTGTGTGTGTGGAGAAAGTATAACTGAAGGAGAGGCTTTCGATGCTTCCATCTTGGAGATTGATTTTGGGTCAAAAACTTAACAGAACTGAAAGTTGAGCCTTAAAAATAGACACTTACGTACCCCATACTTGAACCATTCATTTCAATTCTCCAAGAATTGCAGATCTACAATTTTTGGAGCTCCACATTCATGGATCTGAGGTGGAAATGAACTTGTGGTGATTTAGAATGCGTTTCGGGCCCTAAACCCTTCAAAACCATGGTGGACACGATCCACAAGACTCAGCATAAACATTTCGATAATTTAATATATCAAAAAAATTATCTGGATGCAAGTGAAGTTGCCAACCATGGTTGTTAATTAGGCGAATCTTAAGAGTCCAAATAATATGAATGATGAAGGCATCCAAGAATAGATTTTTCTTGGCAATGGAATGCCCAACATCCTAAACATTCTAAAAAATAAGCAACTATATTTAAATCGTAAAAACCAACCCAATGAAGAGTAGACTGCAATACCAAACATCAAAAAAAACAAAACACAATAGTCATAGAGAGCTCAAGGGATAAGAAAGAAGAGAAATAATGCATCAGAAATTAGAATTTGGTGATCCATGATCCTATCTTGCACCACAATTAGATTATTAACCTAGGTCAATTCTAGGTTTGACAATGCAAAAGGTAAGAAAGAGAACAAAAAAGCAAAACATGATTTGAGTGCATTACGCACAGCAAGCAAGGAACAGAAACCCTCTTGAAAAACTAAGGCTCACACAACAGCTAAGAAGAGTTAAGGAATATAAGATGAATGCATCATAGCATCCATAAACTATGCTGCCCATGATGGCTCCAGGCCTAAAATGTTAGAGCTAACTATATCATAAATAAAAGATTTGATGCTCCAGCAGAAGCAAACTAAGGCTCACACAACAGCTAAGAAGAGTTGAGGAAAATAAGATGAATGCATCATAGCATCCATAAACTATGCTGCCCATGATGGCTCCAGGCCTAAAATGTTAGAGCTAACTATATCATAAATAAAAGATTTGATACTCCAGCAGAAGTAAACTAAGGCTCACACAACAGCTAAGAAGAGTTGAGGAAAATAAGATGAATGCATCATAGCATCCATAAACTACGCTGCCCATGATGGCTCCAGGCCCAAAATGTTAGAGCTAACTATATCATAAATAAAAGATTTGATGCTCCCGCAGAAGCAAACTAAGGCTCACACAACAGCAAGAAGAGTTGAGGAAAATAAGATGAATGCATCATAGCATCCATAAACTATGCTGCCCATGATGGCTCCTGGCCTAAAATGTTAGAGCTAACCATATCATAAATAAAAGATTTGATGCTCCCGCAGAAGCAACCTAAGGCTCACACAACAGCTAAGAAGAGTTGAGGAAAATACGACGAATACATCACAGCATCCATAAACTATGCTGCCCGTTATGGCTCCATGCCTAAAATGTTAGAGCTAACTATATCATAAATAAAAGATTTGATGCTCCCGCAGAAATAAACTGTGGGCTTACTCCAAGCAAGTAAAAGACCTACTTCAGGGGTTCTTGTTTGACCCTAAAACACCCAAATCATAGTGTTCTTTGAACAATTTGGAAAATATAAAAAAATAAAAAAAGATTCCATGGCTTAAAAATAGTCCAAATAAACCTGCACCAACAGTGAACAGCAAGGTCTAAGCTTTTAAAAGCTCAAGATCAATTTTTTTTCCCTGGAATTGTTTGTCTGGTGCCTAGAATGTGCTTTGCAAGTTTTCAATCCAATAGGATCCTCCTAATAGGTGTTTGCCTGCCAGAGTATACTGCACGTGCCTAATAAATAATGCAATGGTCTAAGGAAAAACAAAATTTTCCTCCTATCCCAATGTTTGGCAAAGAATAGCAGGAAATTTGTGGAGATGCCTGACAAACCAGCTGGGCAACAAAGCAAACATCTTTGCCACAACCCAGGTGGCCATTTGTTGGCAAAAACCTTGACGGAAGACACCTTTGTTGCACCTTCAGTTAGGGGACTGCCTGTCAATTTTAGTAATTTATTTTTAATATTTCCCCAATCTCCACTGACCAAATGAATGGACAGTGGAGAAGACGGCATAAGAGGAAACTGTGACAATCCAAAAATTTTCCCATAGAGGAAAAACCAATTGTCTTATGCTCATTGCCGTTGGTTAAAATTACAGACGGTGACAATGACAGATGATTAGGAACACATCCTGTTTTGGCATGTCCAATTTCCATAACAATCCATCAATTCAATGGTATATTATGAGCCAATTGTGGACTGGCTTTTCCAGTCCATCATATAAAATTACACTATTTCAAGCTTTAGAATATCACAAAAAACAATGAGGTGACCATGTAGAAGGCATTTTTGTTTCATCGCCCTTGAGCTTCATCTATACGTGAAGATATAGAACAAGTCAAATCTATTATAATTAATAATGCGAACAAGTCAAATCTATTATAATTAATAATACTCACAAGAGAGTACGGAGAAGAAGAGCTTACCAATCTCGGTAGCATTTCATGCAGAATGCATGATTGCAATTAGGCAAAACAACCTTGCTGTTCACCTCCATGCATATCCCACATTCTTCTTCTCTCTCAATATCAATTTCAGAGAGTTGGGCACTTTCTCTGTCAGCTTTCTTCCTATATTTCATTATATATACATCTCTCTGTTTTCGATCGTCCATTTCAGTGATACCACTTTGAAGTTGCAGCAAAGAAGGGAATATCACAGCTGTTAATTCATAAACCACACATAAATAACCACAATTAATAGCTCTAGACTCAAATCATTTGACACCTAACCTTGATTAAGAGCTACAGTTCCCATAAATTTGCATGGGGTGCCATTTTATTAAGAGTTGAGAATGAGGTGCCATTTAAGTAACACATGTTCAAAGAAATGCATGTAATCACAAAATAGTAAAGTCTCACCCAATTCTATGCCTCAAATTTACATTAGCAATAGCATCAAAAATGACAAGTACAAAATCATATAGATTTGCAGCTGCACGTGTTTCGGCAAAAAAACTCTTACCATAGAACTCTCTTATACTTGCTTTTCTTTCATGGACTGACATGATAGTTTTGCCATCTACATAAACCTTTAGGAGACCAACACATCATATTAGAACATATGCAATATGAAGGAGATTAGGCATGAACACACACACACACAAACAAATATATATATATATATAGCAATAAAAGAAAATTAATCATATCAAATTATGTAAGATTTACAACATGAAGAATTGGATAGCATCAAATAGATAGGCAAAGGGAAATTGGCAAATTTGAACGAAGCGTTCTGCACGGATTTTAAAAAACATGTAGTCAAAGGAATCCAATCACAATGAGCCACACAAAATACATTACATGCATGAGGATAGCAAATTAGGGACACAGGGAAGGGAGCAAATGCGTAAATAGATAGGTAGAAGAGCAATAACAAAAATTCATGGGTATAGACCGAAGTTCATCTGAAGAAAGTCAATTACTTCAAATTAATCAAACAACGAAAGCAGTAAAAGAGTAGTCAAAATTAGATTGGAACAGAAGGGGGAAAAAAGAGTAATCTTGAAAATATGCATATTTAAAAAGCACACAGGGAAATGGGTACTAAGTACTTAAAAACAAATAGCAAAGTGGGCAATCTTTGTGGCCATCATCTAATGACCGTAAAGCCCATTTGAATAGAGGCCAGTAAGGAGATCGGATGTTTAGCTAAGGAGGGTTCTGAGTTTTAATCACTGAGTACCTGAGATATCTTCTTAACATCTCCCTGAGCTTTTTCGTTTGTTGTTGTTAGCCTTGTACTTTTTCCTTTATAAATGAATTTGTTATCCTTTCAAAGGAGAAAAGAAAAGGATATATAGCAAAAGAAAAAAAATCAAATCTTACATTGTAAAATATGCAAGAAAATAAAGACTAACAAATTCATGGAAAAAACATAAGATAAGAAAGCCAACCGTTGGAATGAGGGCGATGAAAGGAAAAAGTGAACTTCATGTGTGCTTTTATTTTTACAAGTGTAGCTCACCTTGTAGATGAGGATCCTCAGCAATCCAAGGGCACCTGCAAGGCTGCAATCCATCCATTGAACAAGGAATAGAAACACGTGAGCAGCCGGGCTATACGATAATCTCATTTGGAGACAAGCACCATCATACTCCCTTGGATAATCAGAAGCCCTGAATTTCCACAAGACAAGATTTAGTACATATTCAATAACAGAGACCCTTTCTAGTATCGATATGAATAGAGCTAAATGTAGTTGAGAAAACTTGCAATGCGTCACAGCTGTCAGCGAGCGAACAAGAATGTCATAGACAGTGCCACGAATTGATACTCGCTGACAATTGTTTGATCAAATATTAGACCGATGTTGGTGCCAAGACACATACAAATTATGTGTATGGGGACCCAAAGAATGCTCACTCTACTTTTTCAATCCAAAAGAAAAATAAATAATAACTGGAAAATAATTTGATGTCCTGATGAACAAGAGCATGACAATTTTGAATTTTCTGAATTCCATGTCTGCAGAATTGTGCTTAGTTGGAAAGGACTTTACAAGGCATTTACTAGAGAATAAAACAAAGAGGATCATGGTAGTCATAGACACTGAACACCCACCAGTTTCCAAAAGAAAAAAGGCCTGATTAAAATTTCTGAAGAAATCCGAAAGGTAAAATTTTGTCAATTTTGTCAAAAAAATTTACAAATCATGGGGCCAAAGAACACATAGTCAGATTGGTGTTTGGGCTATCAAGAATGCCATCAAAGTCCATTACAACAAAAATAAGAAGCCAAAATTGATTCTACTCAGTTTTTTCATACCCAACATCCTTAACCAGAGAAAATGCCTAAGCATGAGTAAAGATTAGATTTTTTTTTTTTTGGGTGGAGAGAGAGAAAGAGAGAGACAGAGACGTCCGAGTTCATAAACCATAAATTCTGATAAATTTGGTATTAATACTTCTACAGGAAGTACCACAAAAAAATTGGTAAATAAAACCAAAACTATTATCAGTTTTTTTTCAAGAAAAATGCCATTTTGAGATCAGAGGTAAAGCAAATCACGATTGTTTTAACGTTAGGTTAATGGCGGGATCCCAAAAGGTATCAAACACCCAACAATTTGAAATTTTACTAGGCATCTATAAATAATTTATCTATCAATAAGAGGAGTCCCAAATTCCAGAATTTCTCAAAATACAATTTTTTGCATGAAATTTTAAAAACCAAATAATCCAAAAGTACCACTACTATTTTTAGATAAAATGCACCACCAAAATAAGAAATAGAATAAAAAAAAAGAGAGCCAGCAAAATAAAAATAGGAAAACTCTATCCAATAACACGATCCAAATAAATCATATTCCACAAGCTATAATCCCTATATTTAAATGAGAATGTAGAGAAAGAAAGTTGTGCAAACAAACTCATAACTCTCCCTCCTCCCTCTCTCTCTAAGCAGCCAAAAACCAGAGAGGAAACAGTGAAATTACAGAGTGTTGGCATGCTGAATATCCAATAACACGATCCAAATAAATCATATTCCACAAACTATAATCCCTATATTTAAATGAGAATGTAGAGAAAGAAAGATTGGCAAAACAAACTCATAACTCTCCCTCCTCCCTCTCTCTCTAAGAAGCCAAAAACCAATGAGGAAAGAGTGAAATTACAGAGTGTTGGCATGCTGAATATCAGCTTCGAGGGCCTTGAGAGAATCCTTAAAAGACTTGCGCATGGCGGCCACAGTCTATACTCCTCTGCAACTCAATCCCATCAAAAGGCGAAAAAAAAAAAACCCAAAATGAGAACCAAAAAAACCTCTATAAAACAGTTTATACAAGTTCCCTGCAACTTAATCCGATAGAGAAAACAGCCTAGGGCAAAGAGAGGAAGAAACCTAGAATCCAGAGAGAGAGAAAGAGCCCTAATTTATTTGCTAAGCCGTTTCCAGAAGCTGAAAGCTCGCACACGTGGAGAGAGAGAGAGAGAGAGAGAGAGAGAGAGAGAGAATTAGAGAGAAATTAAAAAAGAGCGGCATAGATCCGAGGCTCTAAACAATTAAAGTAGAGCCTGCCTTTAAATGGTAGTCAAAAAAAAATATGGTTATATCTAAGATAGCCTTAAATTTTATCTCTAATTATAAAATTTAAATCTTAAATCATAGCGATGGATCAAAGAAATCTATAAAAATCTTGAAAATTAATTGTCTAAAAATATATTATAAGATGCACTATTTACAAAATTTGAAATACATTTTTTTTTCACGTCTATGATTTTGTGATCAATTTGAAGATATTTAAGCATCAAAATAACCTCTACTATAAGAAGTTTTGAAATAGGCTCTAATTTGATTGTTTAGAGCGTCAGCTCTATATAAACATTTCCCTTAAAAAATTACATAAAGTTTCAAAGCCAAACCCTAATTTAATGATGAGAGGCCAATATCCTGAGCTCCTTCAAAATGACTTAGCTTGAGGGCCACGCATATGATTTATTAGTACAATTATTTAATGAGGTAAATCAATTAAGTGATTAATTATTAATAATTAATTGAGATATATAGAGAAAGAGAAAGATATAATAATCAATTAATTGAGATATACATGGAGAGACAAATTAATAACTGTTAACAAAACCAGATCAGCTCTTAAGTAATTATGTAAATCAGTTAAGTGATTAATTATTAATAATTAATTGAGATATATAAAGAGAGAAAGAGACAATCATCAATTAATTGAGATATACATGAAGAGACAGATTAATAACTGGTTATCAAACAAAACCAGCTCTTAAGAAAACCAGGTGCTGCCTTGGTAAGACGGTGGTCTCTTAAATGCCCTGGGCTGGGGAGGAATTACGGGAAAGCCCTTATGTGCCTCTTTTATCGTTTTCCTTTAGCAACTTTAAATAATCCAATTAAGGCGCATTTATAAATTTTATCTTTAATTTTAGTATAAATTTTTTTTAGAATTATCTCAAAATCTATTTTCATATCTAATTGTAAAATTTTAAACTCCAAAAATGATTAAAATGGAGTTGATCTATAAACATATGAAAATCTTGAAAATAGACGGTATGGATAATGTGTTGTAAGATACACTATTTTTTAGACACAAATTTTTCTTCTTTTTTTCCATTTTCATATATCTCAACATCGAGATGATCAATTAGAGGGTTTTTCAACATTAAAACAACGTTTGCCGATGGATTTTTTAAGTGTATCTTGAATTCTACATTTTAAGGTTACAACCTTATATAAACTTTTTCCAAACTTAAAAGGTTAAAATAAGGCGCACGACAAGGGTGGCAATAGACCCAAACCCAAGCAGGGTCTCAGGTTGGGTCCAAAAATTGGACCCACCCGATCACTATTTGGGTCGGGGTCAGGGTCTAGTAGGTTCGGGTCTGGTAATATTTTTGGGTCTCAATATATTTAAATATAATTAAATACATAGATATTTTAGTTAAATACATAGATATTTTTGGGTCATATCCGTTCGGGTCTGGGTCCCACATTATATTTTTGGATCCGGGTCCAAGTCCGGGTATAGTGAATAACTGAATATGGATCCGGTCGGGTCCAGTTCAATGTCCCATATCATTTTTTCGGATTTGGGTTTGGGTCCGGCGGGACCCAGACCAGGACCCCGACCCGACATGTTGCCACACTTGTGTAGGCCTCATGAAAAAAACATAAAGCCTCCCCTTAAAACCTATAAAAAATAAATTAAAATTTACAAGCACTACCAATCATGTATATTATACAAATTATCTACACCACCCCTTTTTAAGTTTTCATAGATCCATTGGATTTATACCTCTTTTTTTTAGCCATAATTTTATAATTAATGCTGTAAATAGATTTTAGAGTCATCGTGGTGGCTTCGCATGTCCAAAATATTTTTCGGACAAGGTTTTGAGTTAAGGCTTTAATTTTCTTTCACAATACCTAGTCCTCCTAGAAATTGTATCCACTTTCATTTTTATTAATTAGATATAAAAGATATTATAAATAAAAGGTATTTAATAATATATATAATATTTAAACATGTAATATTTTACCTTGGGTATATTTTGATAAATTTCAAAACCCATTTTGACATGTGATTTGATGAGCTATTTGAAATTTGATTAAAAAAGAAAGATAGGAATTTTGAAATTAGATAAAAAAATGGGTAAAATGTTAAATAATTCAAATTATTTGTGTAATTTGATAATTTTTCCTTATAATTATAATTAAGACTAGAGAAAAAAAAAACTTTTCTATTGTCCCTTGATCAATGCCCACCCTGTGTAATTTGCGTATTTTTTTAAAACGCTCTTTATTATTTGATTTAAGGCTGCAATTATAAAAAGGGAAAGTATATAAATATATTATATATCTTTGGTACAAGGTGGTCACAATTAATATTGACCATTAGATGTGAAATTGGGTGGCTGCATTATTTTATTAACCAAACTCAAAGTTCAAAATAAAATCTCTCGATCTTCATGTGTCACACCCCAAGTTTTATATATATATATATATGCATCTTCGTGTTAATTATAGGTTGTGAATAGACTTTTTATTAGAAAATTGAAATCACTTACTTTCATGATGCCGATATAGCCATAGGATGATCATATGTGAACCTTAAATAATACAAAAAGATAACATATGAACTGAGAGAGATGACTGTGAAATTTTATCTTACTAGAATGCCAAATATTTTTAATCCGCAGTGGGAGGAGAGAGTCTCATCTTCCTTTAATCGACTGGAAGCTCAATGTTCATCTATGAGAGAGTACGCCTTTTTAAGAGAGAATCTCACCCCCCTTTTTAAACTGAGCCAGAGCTTTTTATGAGAGAGACTATTGTAATACCTCAGTTAAGAAGTGTCAATACAAAATCAAAAGTAGTTGTTTAATTTGCCACTAAGAGATGGTAATAACTAACCTCTTCATAAAAATTAGAAACAAAAAATGGTAGACCTAAGGTCCACCCAAATAAAAATTGACCATCCAATTATTTAACAATTTGTTGTTTTGAAAAATTTTAAGAAAAACTATAAGTTATCGACCAATGAATATTTGGGAGTCAAAGTTGATATGAAGGGTACAAAAACAGCTATCTAGACATTCAAAAGTTACAGACCTATCGTCATCTTATAATGCTATCTTATGACACATCACTTCATGCTTATATTTATTTTTTATTTTTTATTTTATTACACTTTATTTTATTTATTAATATTTATTATTATTATTTTTTTTTATTATTACTATTATTATTATTATGTTGGTGATTATTATTATTATTATTCAGTTTCAAAAAATTAAGGTCACATCGTGACACACCCAAACTATCAAATTTCACATCGGATGGTTTTACGCAATTGTAACCTCCTTATACCAAAAGTAAATGGTTACAGTGTATAGAATCCCTCATAAAAAAAGAGAATCATATATGAATTTCTCTCATGGCTGCAAACTGTAAAGCTTGAAAAATAGTGCAGATTTGAGCAATTTATTAACACTTGAAAATGATTTTCAAAGCTAGAACTCCTTATTGTTCGATCATAATTATCGAGACCGAGATGATCAATGTAGGGTTTTTCAGCACTAGGAAAGTCTTGCGATGATAAGAAAATTTATTGTCATTGCTAGTTATAAAACTTAAAGCTCTAAAAATTGTGTAGACTAAGCAGATTTAGAAATTACTAACCAAATTTTAAAATAAACAATCCAACTAATATGCTATAGGATATATTGTTTTTATGAGCTGAAATCCTATATATATATATATCAAGGTCGAGGTAATAAATTTGAGCATTTTAGAACAACTTTTTCTAGTGGATTTTTGAGAAGCACCTTATTTAATAGTTAGTTGTTGACATCTTATATAAACTTTTTTCCTCCTATTATGATACTCAGAAAAAACACATGATTTAAAAAATAATAAAAAAAAAAAAATCATGCTCCATTTTGTTCTCCCTCGATCATAATAAAATACCTTTTTTCCCGTTAAACCCCACTTTCATAAGACGAATTGTATGCATTGAGATCATTATTTTTGGTGCGGTGTCTATAAGGTTGCAACCTTAAACAACCAAATTAAGGTGCACCTCCAAATTTTATCATAATATGTAATTTTGGTGTAAAAAATTATTAGAATTATCTCAAAATCTAGTTTCATATCTAATTATAAAATTTTAAACTCCAAAAATGGTTAAAATCAAGTAGACCTCTAAGCATATGAAAATCTTGCAAATGGACGATCTAGATAGTGTGTTGCAAGATGCACTATTTTTAAGACTAAAAATCTTTTTTTTTTCAAATTCATACATCTCGATGTTGAGATTATCATTTCGAGGGTTTTAAACCTGTAAGCATATGAAAATCTTGCAAATGGACGGTCTAGATAGCGTGTTGCAAGCTATTTTTAAGATGAAAAATCTTTTTTTTTCATATTCATACATCTCGATGTTGAGATTATCATTTAGAGGGTTTTTCAACATTAAAACAACATTCTCTTATGGATTTTGAGGTGTGTATGTAATTATACAGTTTAAGGTTGCAACCTTCTATAAACTTTTTTTTTTTTTTTTAGTGTTAAGAGGTCATAATTATTTATAACCATCTGATATGAAATCTGCTAGCTTGAACGTATCATAAAATTGAAAAAACATTTCATTTGAACTTAACATTTCATTTTAACTTTGAGCTTGATCAGTTTACTCCAACCTCATCTGATACGGTTAAGATAAATTGTTACCCCTTGTGCCAAAAGTAAACGGCCTGGTTGTATACTTTCCCATTTAATTTTCTATTCCTATGGTCAAAACTCAAGATGTGCCAGAAAAAGTCTACCGAAATTTGGAGCTTTTCGGCCCTCAGAACGGCAGGTTTTGGACTTTTTGGAGATAACAACTAATGGTATAAATATTAGAAAAATAAAAAAATAAAAATTAAACGTTTCAAGCTTATCCATTTGCCTTTTAATATTATTTGTTTTCTTTTCCAGCTCAGCCATGCATTGCTCTTGTCTTGGA